AGGCAGTCAGACAGACAGAGAGAGAGACAGACAGGCGGGGGACCTGGAGGACGAGGAGAGCTGCCAGCAGAACAGCAGTCCAGTCCACGCGCAACCGGGACTCCTTCTGGCGCCATGCGCGCGCGGAGTCAGAGAAGCGCGTGATGAGTCGGACCGGTGCGGCTCCTCGAGACCTTCCGCAACGCGACCACCGCCACCGCCACCATTACTATCATCAACAAGTGTGAATGTCGCGTTGTGTTTCTGAGGAGACACAAAAAGCGCCACAGTTGGAAATATGAATCATTTCACTCGTGGACCGGAGAACTTCCCCGCGTGCCGGAACTTTAGCGTTTTGCTCTCTCCCTCGCGGGAGTGTGGACTGCTTCAAGTAGCCTGAACTTTTTATTTAACACAAGGTTTTAGTATTTCTGTTCACAGAGGTTCAGGCTGCTGTCGGCGCTGAGCTTCCCCGCCGCCACAGAGGCTGGATAACACGCAGCCATCAGTGCATTCCGAGCTCCGTCTGTCCCGGTAAGTAACCTCACATTTACAAGAAGTTACTAACTTATTATCTCATGTGTAGCTTGTTTGTTTGTGCCGGTGTAACATTTTAAAAGCACAGAGACACATGTTAATGTGATTTAAACGCACACAATTACAAAACGCTATTATACTGTTTACTCTTACACTTTGGCGCCATTAGCCGGATGACACTGAAATCTTTGCCCAAGGTGTTCTTGCCTCTACAGGTTCACATAACATCCCTATGTATGATAATCACATGCTTGCTTTACTAAATGTGGTGCCAAGCTGTGTTTAGTCTTTAAACTGACATTTTCCTGAAGAAAACATCTGTTGATGTCGCCTATTTAAGAACCACTTCATTTCATTTTAATATATTACTACTCATTTTTTTTGAGAATGACAGCTCAGACATGCTGCAGCGCTACAGTGTGCGTGTGGAAGTAATGTATACAGTACATGTAGTATAGTGGTGTCATAACAACCGCAGGGCGCTGCATGCCACATCGCCTCCACCTCCCGCTGCGCTCATACCGCTCACTGCGCCAGGGGCTCTCTTTATGAGCATGTGCATGTGTTCCAAAGATAGGAAGCCCTTGCCAAAGACAAAAGGAGAAGAAAAAAGAGAAAGGAGAAGAAGACACGGCTCCGCGGGGCGCATGACCTCGAACACAGCGAGGGGCTCATTGTGTGATCAGCTGAGCCCAGCAGAGGGTGCGCAGTCCTAAAGTGAAGATCCTCCTGCAGGACACATGGACTCACTGTGGAGGAGAGACAGCAGGCCTTGAGATGAGGGAGCTGTGCAGGAAAAAGGAAAAGAAAAGCTTCTCCTCATTGTCACAGGAAGATGAGCTGGGTTTTTTTTTGTTCTTTGTCCAGCTATGGAATAATGTCATTAATATTGATAAGCACCAGAAAATAATTTCATGTGTCATTTATAGACGATGCAGAACAAAATGACGTTTTCCTAATTGAATGAGAAAATTCTGGCGATGACCCATGAGCGGGCTGCCGGTTGATGAGATTTGAAATGGATTTTTCCCAACAATCACATTATACATTTGTAAACACTGTGGGGATGGCATTTACTCAGCACAGTTTGGGAAGATGAAGGCGACCGCCTGTGCACTTAGAAAAGAGAATTTGGATGTCCATGTGCCCTCTGACAGAAACCGTACGCCGTCTCCTCCCGCGCTCAACGACTACTGATTCTTGTTTCTGCTCAGGAGTAACACTGCTTTCTCTTTTTCTTTCAGCGCACAACCTGACATGTTGATTCCAGTTGCTCGCCCCGCTCCTACGCTCTGAAGCATTCAACGTCCTCACAATAAACCTGAGATTACAGTTCCCTGCTGGAATATGCTCAGGGAGCAGCTCAATTTGTGGATGAGCTCTTTTGAAATCTGTTCCAAAAGATTGTTATAAAACTCTATCAAATCAATTTTGAAGGATTCTCTCGCGATAAGTCCTCATGTTTGTGTGAATAAACTCATATTTTCATGCAATCATCCCAATTTAATGCTAAGAAGCAGGTGGAACTATGATTGCTTTTACATGACAGGACTTGTGGGAGGTTGCTGCTGAATATGCAGGACACAGCGGGGCCTGATATGCGCAGGAAACCCCTTGTATTTGATGGCTTTGGCCTCTTATGGGCCGTGCTCTTTGGATTATTCGTGGCAAATGCTCCAGCGATGGCCTGTCCAAGCGGCTGCCACTGTATAGAGAAGAGCGGCATGAGCGTGGTCCAGTGTATGTCCCGCAACTTGGACAAGATCCCCTCAGACCTTCCGAGAGACACCGTCGTCCTACTGTTGGCGTCGAACCACATCACGCACATCCCCAACCACGCCTTCAAAGAACTGCACTACCTTCAGGAGCTGGACCTGTCCAACAACGACATCGAGACGGTGGACGTCGGCGCTTTCCAAGGTGTTTCCGACAGCCTCCTCGTCCTGGATCTGTCCAACAATCGCATCCAACGGGTCCCCAAAGAGGCATTCGCCCGTCTCCGAGCCAAAATCAGCCTCTCCAACAACCCGTGGCACTGTGAGTGTACGCTGCAGGAGGTCCTGAGGGAGCTGCGGCTGGACCCCGAGACTGTGAACGAGGTGATCTGCCACACTGCGGTGCAGGAGGAATACGCAGGCAAACCGGTCATCCAGGTGCTGGACTCAGGGATCAACTTCTGCAACTTTCACCACAAGACCACCGACGTAGCCATGTTCGTCACCATGTTCGGGTGGTTCACCATGGTGATCGCGTACGTCATCTACTACGTGAGGCACAATCAGGAGGACGCGAGGAGGCACCTGGAGTACCTCAAGTCACTGCCCAGCAGCTCCCAGATCAGCAAAGACTTTGACACCATCAGCACGGTTCTCTAGCAGGGCGGTGTGTGTGTGTGTGTGCGCGTGTGTCTGTAAATATGTGAGTAAATCTCTGGTTCTGTACAAAATGACTTGAAAGCTTTTACGACACATTCTCACCAGAGGTTTGGAGCACATTATTTGAGGTCTTTCAGTGGAAGGAAATGGGTGGGTTTTGACTTTTTTCAGCCTTATGAAGGATTTCTTTTGTAGTAGTCTAAAACATACATTTAGATTGGATTAAATATGCTTTAATCTGGCTCTACAAGCAGACAGGGAAACAGTGATAGCACACAATAAACTAAATACTTAAAGTCACATTCACGTCACAGATGAAAGCTGTAGACTAGAGGGAAAAATGTTCCCAGTCGGGTGTCGATCCACGGCGTGATTGAATTTGGACTGAGACGAATGAGGACGACGACTGTCTCCCAGTTACTTTGTATTGATTGATTTACGTTCTCCATGTGGCACTGTCAAAGTAAAGGGCATTTTTACCAGGCTTTGGCTAATATAATATAGGAAGTAGGGCAAGGTGCTGACGTTCAGTTTGCATAACACGTGCATTACAGCCCTGCCTCCAATAAACTTTCCACGTGGAACTACTGACCCAGGAAATAAGGTCCCTCTGCCACCGCTGCATTGTCACATTAAAGACTAAATGTAGTCAAACAAGGAAAAGTTGCCATACTCCTGCAGCTCTGTGTTAAATCCGAGAAATGGTCTGAACAAGCATTTCGTCTTACCTTGCCAAGAATGTTAACACGCCTACTTCATTACCCGGCGAAGCATCGAAGGCTCTAGACTGAGAGGGGTGAACGTAATGAACCAAATCTTTTTATTTTCAGTGTGGCACACTACAAATTGTCGTGTTCCCAATATATGAACTCAGAATTTTAGCACACTGTGACGATATGCCTGTTTTACCTGTCCAGTTTTTACTTTTGCAATTTCAATGCAAACAAATGAGTAAGAACACTGCAACAATCATTGAAAGTCTTTTAAAAAGCGGCAGCGATCCCCCAAAAAGCCTGCCAAACCCTGGAGATTCTCATTCATAGCAAACATGCAGCAACACGATCATCCCTTTGAAGTCGTGTGGTCCCCTGATTATTAAGTCTAGTATTCACTCGCTGTTCAAATGTGTTTTGGTCTCCGCCAACTCCAAAAGGAAAAGAAGTCTAGATGTTAAACTTTCCTCCCTTGCCTGTATAGTTTGTGGTTTAGGGTTTCTCAGTGTTTCTCAGTGCTGATAACAGCAGGGGGCGATCACAACTGTGAGCCATCGATCACAGGGGCTCGCAGAGGAACAGACGCACACACCTCCCGAAACTCAGCAACGTTTGTTTGAGTCAGCATATCCAAAGCCCGGAGCGCGTTTTCCTACACGCAGCCCGGTAAAGCAGAATCCCAGCCTTAATGTGGGAGCCGGAACAACCAAATGAGCCTAAAAGAGGCTGAAAGGCTCACAGCTGACTGATAGTGCTCATGTCTTTTGATTCAGTGTTACAGCGCTGTGAGATACAGCTGATACAGTAGTAGCGTGCTGGGAAGATGGTTAGAAATCAGCTGCAGTGTGTTGTTAGAGAAACACATTTTCTCTGTGTTCATTATTTCCTGTGTAGGACTACAACTGGCACTGGTGTATTATCCAGGACAGCATGCAGAAGTTCAGCTCTGTTTTATTACACCCTGGTGGAGTCAGTTACAGCACAGGAGAAAAAAACACACCACAGAGAAGTTACATATAAAAAAGATTGATTAGTGCAGCTTTGTTCAGAGTGGGGTCCAAATTTACTCTGTATGAATGTATTTATGTCCAGATGTGTGTCCACAAACACCACATGGTTTATGTTATTTGTGAACCACAGAAACTACCAACACAACCATTTATGCTGTTGAATTTGATTGCAAGGCACAACAACAAACTGAATATGTATTTAAGTGCTTATGGTTGCTGTTGCTGGTCAGGAGTTGATTGTGTCCAAGTGCCTACTCTCGGGGACTGCTACACCATAGCACTGTGCACAAAGCTGGACAACTGAGTGTCATGTCCTCTCCACTGCAGAACTCAGAGGCAGTTACAGCGTATGCCTAGCAGGGGAACTGAGTCATAAAGGTGTCAAAGCCCAATTTCTCAGATGGGTGGATTTTTCCAAGAAAGGACAAGAACGAGTGCCAGGAGACAATGACAGAAAAGTTGATTTAAAATGATTGTTGCTTTTCTGTGATTGACAACTTACTGTACCTGTCCTCTGTGGTGATTCCCACTCATCTCATAGTTCAAACAGGTTAAAAGAAACACAAATAATTGTTTGCAACGAATACTTGACTTACTCTAGGTAGAGACTAGTTTTTAATTTTGCATACTGTATTTGCATCTGACAGAATAGTCTTTTTTATACTATTGTAGGTTTATTTGTTACAGTGTCTATCTGTGTGCAGTTTTGACCTGTCATATAACGATGTTTGTGCTGGCCAGTGTGTAACTTTTACAGTAGAAAGAAATGCACATGCCGTCTGTGTTGTTATTTTGTAGAACGTGTCCTCAGCTTAATCTACATCAAAGTGTTTGTATGCCATTCAGAGCTTTCAACTGGTCAATGTCTTTTCTGTAGAACTGTAGAAGAATTGGTCTATGAGCTGTGTATTTATGTGATGGAAATGAAAGGGCTCCAATAATTTTGTTTGTGATAATAATATCAATTTTCTATCTGTTTCAGTAAATACTGTGTGTTTGTTTTGTTGTTGTTGTCTGGATTTCAATGGACACCTTACCAGCATTTGAAAATAAAAATTCTTTTCCAAGACAGTTCAGTCTCCTCGCATTTTTTGCATATTGGCTCCGCATAAAATGAATGGCCAAATATTTTTGAAGAAAGCTAGCTTTCAGCATCACAGCAGTGTATTAGTTGGTCCTTCTTTCTTTCAGAATTAATTTACATTCTGTCCTTTCAACAAACAATTTATCACAGAAAAACAGAGTGGATCTATGGTCTTTTTTGATAGCTATATTTTCATTCCATGTGGATGTTAATGTCAAAAACATGAATGGAATGTTAAATGAGCATGAAACACAAAAACAGACTTTTTAATGAAAAAAGAAGACAGTTAGTACACATCTACCCAGCCTCAGTGAGGTGAGGTGCCTGTGCAAACCCCTGAGGATAGTAAAAGACCGTACCCACCTCAGCCACAGCCTGCAGCCTGCTGCCATCTGGAAGGAGGTACAGCCGCCATACTTAAGAACTTTTCCCCTCAGGCTGTGAGACTGTGAGCTTAATTTATCTCAGCACCTCCATTATGTAAAATAGTTTATATTTTATAGATTTGTATTTTTATCAGTTATTAATCCATTTTATTATATATCATTTTGTTTATACACACACACACACACTTATATTTTTTAAGAGAAGTATAAGGAACTACAACCTAAATTTCATAACACAACCCTGCATTGTAAAATGACAAATAACCTTGTATCCCTGTACCCTTCCATTTTATTTGTGGTGATTATTTTGGGTAATGTCTTTGTTGTGAGGAGGTTTGATGATGGAACAGAGTGAGCTGGCAGTATCATGACAAATAACGTATCTTCCAACCTTACACCTTAAAGCACAGGGTGTCCAGACAAGCCTGATTTCTTATGAGTAAGGCAAGCTTTTGTCTTATCGAGGCAGTACTTTAAGTGCACTGCACGGAGATCGATAAAAAGGCTCATTACTGAGAGAAACTTCTGTCTGGGTTTGGTTTTAAAGGGCAATGTCACTAAAGCTCTGTGACACACTAGCAATTATTTGAATTGTTTTTTTCCTAAACCTGCAGAACTACATTGTTTTTTTGTTGACACTTGGACACTGAATAGTTGGTAAAGACATTAGGCGCTACCACAGCGGTTTCTGTTAATGAATCCGAGATGCAGATGCTGGCAGTAAACTTATTTGCAGTCACAAGCAGTGACTCAACGAAAGTGACCAATCCATTTCGTCTTCTAATGACCTTATCAGCAGAACTATACTTTGTCTCTGCATTTGCAATTTTTTAAATCCAAGTAAATTGAGAATGACTGACATTCATAGTCAAAATCCAACCATACATCTGCCCATCATCCATCCATCCATCTTAGACCACCTGCACAGGTACAGTAGCAGAGATGTCCCTCTCTCCAGCATAATCCTCAGTTCCTTCCTTTCGCCAGACAATAACGGTAAAATAAGATTCTGCCAAGTCCTAGATTAGTCCAATGTTTTTAAAAGTCTTGATTTGAGACACGTACGGCTCACACAGACAGTGTGGCTGCTCTAACCTGTTGATATGACACCAAATAGAAAGCAAGATGTTCCGTGACACACATGTGCTTCTCACGCATGCTGCATGATCCTCACGTAAGGTTAGGCAATTAAAACACTTGGTTAAAGTTAGGGTTAAAGGCTCATTGTTACAGTTAATAAAAAAGGCATCAGTACCACCAGAAGTACCTCCCTGACCTAGGGCAGCAACGTGCGCACAACAAGAAGGAGGCAATATTTTTTAATAAAGTACCATGGTCTCAGAACACATCCCCAACTGCACCCCAGATGCTTGGCTAGTTATAATAAGTGCCATTCATGTTTTTCATTTTTTTTTTGGTCCGAGTCCTCTCTCTGGTTATTTTCTTGGCATGCAACAATTGCTTTCTACTTTTGTTGCATCCATTAAGAACATAATCTGTTGTTCTCTGCTGGTGATTAACATGTAGAACGACGCACTTGGCTAGGATGTGACCCACTCATTTGGCTTCCTGTGTTTGTTCATCCTGGCTGTTTGCCCTTTGCACCATCTGTTCATTGAAATATCATTAACATTTTAATGAAAGACCCTGATTCTTCTTATGAAGACAAGAGAAAGCGGATGTCATTCCTCCTTGGTCAGAAGCCCTTGAGCATAGCTGCCAAAACATCCACCACCTTTCTGGGATGCAATATCGAAGTCTTCATTGAGACTGAATGAATAAATTTACATTTCACAATCTAGTTTGTACACAAAAATTACACAACAAGACTTATTGTGTATTGTATTTCTTCTTCATTACTATTTAGAAGTGGGTTGTATGACTACATATTGTGACTATATTGTTACTAATAGGTAACTGGATTGGTTGTAGTGCAATGTTTGAAAGAACACTTTTTTATAAAAGAATAAACAAAAACAAAAATTAAAACTACAAAGAAAAAAGCAAAGAAAACTTAAAAATATATAGTTTCTACAAACCGTATTGACCCACTGGTGGGGCAGTGAATACACATGCTGTGCAGCCACAGTGGTTCAAACCCACAGAATTTTCTTTTTTTAATTTTTAAAGGAGAAAGCCCAAAGTAGACAAAGATACTAGATATTCTAGAGAATTGTGAATAAATTAAGGCAAGAGACAAGATATTGAAGAGTTTCCTTGTAAGCCTCATTTCCACTGCATGGTACAGCTTGGCTTGACTTGACTTGACGCGCAAGTGACAATTCTAGTGATAATTGTATCCGACCAATTAGAGGTCTGCAAGGTTTTTACCTCCACCTTACCTCCAGTATCGGCTCAGCTCCTTGTTACCTCAAACAAAGTAATACTAAATAAAGCAGGTACTATCCACACATTTTGCCAATGGAAAACCAAAAAAGAACAGTTCCAAACTACTCCTGTTGAGCTGAGCCACACCATGCCGTGGAAATGAAGTGTTTGACATCATAGAGAATAGGTATAA